TTCTTAGTTTTTCTCACAGACACTTGGGGTGTGGAGCTTAAAACGCCTTTAAAATCCAAATAAAATGTATATTTGTCAATCCCAGCACATGTACTTATCATATAAATCATAAGCCGTTTTGAAAAAAAATCATATTTCAACGTCTATAATATTATTATAGATATAGTAATATATTTTATTTGGATTTTAAAGGCGTTTTAAGCTCCACACCCAAGTGTCTTTGGTATTTCTCCCTTCAGTGAATGTTGAAGAGACAAATTTCGAGTTTATATTCCAAGAAGTAAAAGTCTCTTTTCTCTGAATCTTTTCTGACCTTGGTTGGCTTCAGTATTTCATATTGAAGAGTTTTTGGGTGGCTCATTTGTTTTTTGTTTTGTTTTTTTGTCATTATAAACTTTTTTTCGTCATTATAAACTTTGTTTTTCTTGGATTTGAGAAATTGAATGGCCTTTTCATTAGGTTTGTGAGTTGGATTAATTGTTGTCGGGAATAATGTAGCTTGGGGTATGTAATTTGGAATAGCAATAACTGGACAATGCAGACGACACAATTAACCTTTAGAATAGAACTATTAATATTTTAGTATTCACATTAAATGTAATCAAGTCAATATTTAAGTCAATAAGAAATGTTATTGATATATGAATATATTGAGTATTACTTGAAACTGGAAACCTATTGCCGTTTTATATTCAAGGGAGACAACTTGTACAAATAATACAGTAATATATATGACACGATACATTCCCTTAAGTGCTGGTCAATCTTTAAGGCATGGCCATCCGTATCAGTCCATTTATAACCATATTCTGGTACTGATAGTTTCGCAATATTTCATGTCACATTTTCAGACAGAAAAAATATCTCACTCTTTAATTAATGGCATTATATTATACATGTACATTGTACTTATGTGTAACATTTCTCTCTTTTATTTCAAAGGATAACAAATTGAGTTTAACCATTTAAAATAATAATTATAATAGAATGTGGTAGGATATGCAAAAAAATATTTGACATAGGTTTGCTGTTTTGACAGTAATATCCATCCCTCAGGCATCCGCCCTCGGGTTACCGCCAAATTGATGCAGGGTACCAGAGGTACGGATCGGTATTCCTATTCGAACTGCAAAATATGACAGATATTACACGTATTATTCATTTGACCACATTCGGGTCTTTATAAAACGTCTCTGAAGAAAATTTTATAGAGTGGACAAAACCCCACTCCCAAATTTTATATAGTGGACAAAACCCCACACCTTCAATTTTATAGTGTGAACATAACTCCACACTTTTTTATTACTAATATGTATAGACCTTTGACTGACAATAAAATAAGTGACATTGTTGACACTTTGAATAATTAATGTTAGTTAAGATTAACGAATGTTTAACCTTTGATTTTTATATAACTGTTTGTAATATTTAAATGCTTACCCTTTGAATTTTTATTTAACAGTTTGTAATGCGTGTATTAATAATATTGTATTGTATATTGAAATAAAACTAACATACCATTAATTGTCAGAATCAAAGGAACTATGTAAAATAATTAAAGTAACTATATCACTTAAGTAAATATTCTGTTTTGTTCTTTTCTAACAAGATCAAAATCATATGAATTGTATGGTTTTATAACAAATAATTAGAAGGTGTTGGGATATGTCCACTCTATAAAATTCAGGAATGGGGTTTTGTTCGCTCTATAAAATTTTGAGGTGTGGGGTTTTGACATGTGGGGTATTGTCCTACATTTGGTGTGTTCACTTAATAGACAAATGGCAAGGGCCTACATTTAGACAATAGTAAAGTGTTCAGGTAAAATTAAGTCATACTTTGCTTTATATAGACATGTGTATTTCCTAATATAGATTAAAACACTGTTTTATTCTTGTCGCTTTAATAAAATACTCGCTTAATATATCTCTCTGAAAGAAAACCGGAGAATTCACTTTTAAAGTTTAGACAAGGCAGGATGAGCAACGTCCAACAATAAAGTAATGACCCACTTCTATGATTTTCTGGACAGCATACTTAGAAAATACGGCAATAAAGACAAGTCATCGCCGGTAAGTTAATTCATTTAGACATTTTTTGACGCAGCACACTATTTACTCTTGATAATGGTCAATAGGTGGCTGAAGACATAGCATACTTAGAAAATACGGCATCAAAGAAAAGCCTCTGTAGGTATAATTATTATTAACTTTACTTAAATTTTTAAGCAAAATTTAACACGTTTGACTATTATATATTGACATGTTCAAAAAGGCATTATTCTCATCAGTATATATATTCTCATATAACTACATCTTCCCATAATTGTTTTCTATTTAATATTCTACTTTACATGAATATTCATAATCCACGTCTCTCACGATATAAGATAAGCTTTTGATACCCTTTAATTAAGATTATTTCATATTTTTTATTGAAATTATATTAATACAATTTTGGTCACAAGTTTTTTTTATATTAGTCTTAACACGAGGACTCGCTTCCTCATCGGAAATATAATGATGGCATGCCAGATTTGTGGGCATTTGCCGGAAGAGAAAACGGGTATGTGGACTTTAACATTTTATTACAATGGTTTTTGGTGAGTTCTTTTTATCCCTATTGATGAATAACTTTAACCCACATAACAGCGGATAAGTTTCCAAACCAAACATACCCCTGGCTATAATTCCAATATATTTTTGTAATATACAATACTAAAGGCATTATCTCTTTCAGGTAATAGGCCCAGTCATTTTTTGCGAAATGACCAAAAAGGTGAGCATTGGATCTATTCAATTCATTGGGAATAGTAAATTTTTAATATTTATCCAGGGACGTCGCGTGCTTGTGGACATTGGAACGAAAACTTATACTGCTAGCCTGCGATATTTAGTGGTGTAAAGCCTTAAAGTCCTTTTCGTATTTTGAAGTTAAGATAAGATAAGATAATCTTTACTCATAGTCGGTTACATAAAACATATAAACATTAGCTATATAAGCTATTTTCCGACATAACATACTATCCTTTAACAATGCAAACAAACACTCTGTATAAAAGAAAATACATGTATATAAAAGGATTAAAAAGATCAATGTACATTTATGAGTGACTCTGTAAAACAAATTAGATTTATAAGCACATATAAATATGGATAAGATAATATTAATTGATTGAAGTTTTTTTCGCATTAATAGTAACTTAGAGCTGGATAGACTTTGAAACTTTTGAAATTTGAAATTGAAAATGGTGATATTTTCCAGACATTTTAATGCCTGCCCTTTATTATAAAGCAGGTATTTTTATTTTATGCATTTATAACATAAGTCATTAAGTTGCAATAATCAATGAAAAAGTAAAAAATTCTACAAAACAACAATTTTTTATCAAATTTACATGTTAGGCCATGTTTTAACATGGAAAAACACGATTTTGGGTAATTTCACTTATTTTCATCATTTTTTGTCAAGAGTTTTTTTTTCCATCAAGTACATTTTCTAAGTATTCAAAATATTCAAGGCTAATTATATACAGTCATATTTATACACTTAATTTTCTATCGCTACCAGTAGCCTTTTCGCAATATTTTAAAACTAGTGTGGATAGTTGCTTGAAATTTTCAGGGCAGTTATATCAGACAGTGTTTGGTAGTATGGTACTGGCCACCGTACTGTGTAAAGCCCGATGTTGTCACACCTGATCGAGGCTTACACAACTTTACGACATAGGAAACGCCTTGGAAACTGATGACAGGTCTCTGACTTTTTTTTTAATCTATGACCCGTTCTTACTGCAATGCCCAGAACTTGACTTCCTTCAGTGGCGTTTCTGGCAAACTTATTGGGGAGGCGGTCGCCGTCCTTGCGACGTCACTGTTATCAACTCTTCTGCGCATCGCTCACTTTCTTGAAGTAAAGTGAGTGTATTCAGTGAGCTGCAAAGGGAGCGTAACTGTTATCATACATATCCCTATCAAAACTTGGGGGAAAAAACGTACTTGCTAATTTTAAGTGATTTACATGTACCTATCACACAGCCCTTACTTTGAAAAAAATGTATTCGAATGTTCCGAAGATCATTTTAAGGCTTTTATCGTTTGCAATTTTAGGCAGCTGGTAAAATTATGGGTACTCGATCTGTTCCTCATATTGTCAAAATAGGATTGGTAATACTTACTGTAACAGCAAAGTACATAATCAGGCAAATGACGTTGTTTTTCGTATCCTAAAGATCATGTGCTATGGCCACATTATAATTGTCACCGCAGTGCATTTCATATTTGTAGTACATTCAAATGAATGAATAAAATAGATGAATTAACAACCGGTTATTACTTCTGAATTTTGAAATGATATTTTTGTTAACAGCCAAATGTATTATTGTTTACAGCCAAATGTACCATATACTGGTTGTTTACTTCAGAGGCTAGTGTTAACTATTATGTACTTGAAATGAAGAAAACCTGAACATCTTTTGAAAACATTTGATAAGCATCCAAATTTAACGTACAAATTTAACTATTTATAAATTTACTGTGATACAGGTAACTCGTTAATTAATTACTGACAGCAAAACAGACATATAAAATGTCATTATCGATAGCTTAAGAGTTATGTAAGTAAGATGCAGCTTGAAATCATATATGTACCCTTTCAAAAAACATTTCTGTCGAAAGCTAAATGAAAATTCTGTTTATTTGTTTTGCAAACATTTTTCATTATTGGAAGAATATGACTTGTATCAGTTTTTTTGCTTGAATACAGTATGCAACATATTTTCATTAAAATAAAAAAAATATTGATAAAAAATATGAAAAAAAAAGAATCTATTACAAATGTAGTTGTTTAATTTGACAACGTTTGACACGTCATCGTGAGTTTTAAGTATCTGATTAAGTGAAAAGTCGACCGGACCATTGAATAGTATAAACCCAGTATTTAGTGGTGTAAAGCCTAAAAGTCATTTTCGTATTTTGAAGTTCTTTTCGCTTTAATAGTAACTTGGAGTTACAAGTGACTTCCGTTTCAATGAAAACAGCAAATTCACACACCGGCAACTGAAATTTTACTTTGTTTCAAAATACTACGTGTTCGACATGTCTAGAGGAAGTAGCGCTGGATTCGATAGACATATTACTATCTTTTCACCAGAGGGTAGACTTTATCAAGTCGGTACGCAAAGCTTGAAGATAAAATTATGTAGCGTTTTCAATGTGTGGGTGGGGTAGCATTTTATAAAATCAACTGACTCTATGTTGTTGATATCTATTATATTTGTTACATATTTGAGTTATTTAAGTATAAAAGCAAACATAATGAAAATTTTAGAACAGGTTGATGAGGGAACAGTGGCAAAGAAATGTTTGAGCTGTCTGACATTTGTGGTGGCGCGATAGTCCTATAACATAAGACGTTTCCGTTTGTACTACGTACACTCCAACGTCTTATCGACTTCTTCATAAGTTCCTTTAGCAAAACCTGCCCCACATGTATACAGGTAAAATGGCCGAATGTATATAGCGGTGAAAATGGTATCAATTGTATTGGGTTGGATTTATTTACATTCGAAGGCGAGTCATTTAATTTTTTTTGCTGCACATTGATGCAAAAATGTTTAAATTTACTGTCTGCATATATTTTGACTCAAAGTATTGTTTTTGTAGAAAAAATTTTTTCTTTTTCAAGTTTTAATTTTACGCTTTACAAATTGGAGGGTTTTGCTTTTTAAAAAAATTATTAAAAGGGGATAAACTTGGGGTTTTTTTTATTTTCAAAAAAAGTTTATTTTAGGGCTGTTTTTAAGATTGGTTTGAAACCCCAACTATTAAAAACTGTTTTTTTCCCGGGGGTTTATTTTATTAACGTTGGGGGTTTTTAAAGAAACTTTTAAAAATTGGGTTTAAAAAAAACCCCAAAGGGGTTTTTCTGGGGAAGGAAACCGGAAACGCTTGGGTAGGGTTTAAGGGGGGGATGTTTTTGGGGCCAAAAAACCCCCCTTTGTAAAGGACCCCTTTTAAGGGCTTCTTCCCCAAAACCAAAACCGCCCCTGGGTTTTTTTCCCCCCAAGTTTGGGTTAAAATTTCCCCCGTATTTTTTTTTATTTCGGGGGATAAATTTTTTTTTTCCAAAATTATTAAAAATGGGGTTTTAATTAAAGGTCCTTTTTTTCTAAATATTTTTTGTTTAAATTTTTCAAATGCGGTTTTGCCCTTTTTCTAAAAGGGAAATTTTTAAAGAATGTTTTAAAATTTTGAGACCAATTTTAAAGGGATTTTCCTAAAATTTAAAAAACATTATTTTCCCCCCGGGGAAGGGGGGGAAAAGGTTTTTGGGCCCCTTCCCTTGGTTTTTTGGCCCGGAGTAAAAATTCCGGGGGGTTCTAAATTTAAGAATTTTTGGGGAACTTTGGGTTCCCGGATTTTTTTGGTATTTTAATTTTTTTTTAAAAGTTAAAATTTCCCTTTCTTAAAAAGTGTTTTGTTTCCGGGGTTTTTGCCCGAATAAGGTGGGAATTGGGAAACTTATAATGTTCATCACATTTTCGGCCCTCATTTTTTCCTCTTCCTCTCACTGACATTTGAAAACAAGTTTAAAGTTCAAGTTAGCCTAGAAAACTGGAAAAAAGTGACTTCTCTTATTAGGCAAAACTGAGAGGTATATATTTTCTAACAGAAATAAATGAATTTTAGCTTGTATAGATATTTGAAAATGTGTATCAATATTGTATAGGATGATGAATATCGATGATGTATCAATATCAAGATATTCAATGACAGCCCTACATATTATTAAATTCAATAATTATTTTTCAGATGATATTTTACTTCTTTTTTTTTCTTGTTTGTATATAAATGATATAGTAATTACATATATTAAAAAAAAAAAGATTTGTGAAATACAGTTGAACTTCATGAGCTCAAACTCCGAGGGTATGTGCAAATTTGTCCAAGAGATCGGTAGTTTGAGCCAACCGAGGTTGAACTATTATCATGTAGGACATAAGCATAAACATTCTACACCTTACACCGGCCGAATTATAAATACGTCAGTATAATTGTTTGTTAGTGTATCAGTCTAATACATCATATCTTTTAAATATTACGTCTGTGGTTCTACTCATGTGCCTGTTCGTGCCTGAAATAATGCGCGGAAGGGCACCTGAGGCTTCCTCCACCTGTAAAGCTGGAAAATCGTCAAATGACCTATACTGTGTAGGTGTGATGTAAAACCCTAAACAAATATAAACAAACTTTTAAATATTAAAAATTATTATCCCAGTGTTTTCAAATGAGTATTAACGGTACACTGTGTTAATCTATATTCATGCATATTGTAAATGGTTTAGTTTGATTGGGCAATCATTTTCCAATCTTGTTGAACAATATTCAAAATATATTTATCTGTGTATTATGGGATAAAATTTGTTTATGTTTTTTAAACAATGGATTAATTAAATATTTAAAAAACAACATTCGCGAATATGAACGAGAGTATGGAATATGAATATTATTTTCTGAAAAATCAGCATTTTTTGGGAATATTTTCGTCAACAGACACTTATTATTTTCTTACAAGTATCGTGTTTTTGAATGAAAGAAGATGGAATTCTGTTTTTAATTCGTTGTAAATTATTGTGACCAATAACTCTTAGTAATTACATAGATATGGTATATGCAAACTCTAAATCTCTGGTTGAACCGTTTTCAAGACAAAGGCTATTATTAATGAAATTTTATTTGCAACACGTATATATATAGATAAATATAAGACTTAGTTGACTTGTAATGAATACTTTTTATTTCAGAGTATGCATTCAAAGCTATAAATCAAGGGGGATTAACATCTGTTGCTGTCAGAGGAAAAGACAGTGCTGTTGTTGTGACACAGAAAAAAGTTCCTGTAAGTTGATTTGCTTAATATGTGTAATTAATACTGTATTATCACATACCCATGCCACTTTTGTGACTCTGTAAGAATGGTATGGCATGGCTGTGTATATATTTTGATGTGGCGTCATTTGAGTTACACAAACATATTGTAGAGACAATTTACATGTAAATATAAACTAATCAATTAAAAAATGATTCTTTTTTACTTTTAATTCTCCTTATTTTATGTATGTTATAAACACATATTATATTCATGTAGGTTCATTACTTTATTTGATGATATAGTGGAATAAAAAATATTATGCTCCAGAGGCTGGCATAATGTAATTTTATTCAATATGTAATCAATAAATTTTATTCAAATTCAATATCCTCTATACAAATACATAAAATTTTAGAATATTGTCTGGTTTTAGTTTTAAAAGAAAAGAAAAAACCCATGACAATATTTCCCTTATCAACCAGGGATTTTTTTTGGCTAATTGTATAGCCGATATTCAGTCATATTCCCAATTGAAAATAGTATATTATTTTCCCAATTCACAGGTAAAAAATCCCAATTGAAAGTTACAAAATAAAAATATTGAATAATAAATTCTAAAGTCTTTGAAAATAAGGGCCTCTTCACTGTTATGGTGCTTTAATGTTTGAAGATGCCATCCTAGAGAGTGATTCTTTGCATTCATTTCATCACTGCAAAATTTAAGTCATGCATTTTTCCCAATTTTTAACAAAACATTGCTGAAAAATTCCCAATTCTGTGGGTATGGGTCATATTCCCGTAATCCAGGAAAAAAAACCCTGTCAACTTTTTTGCAGCTTAGTTTTCATTATAAGACATAAAAAAGAACCTGTTATGAATATGGTCCCATGTTTATAAAGGATTTGTAAGCTGGATCAAAATAGATATTTAAAAGGTAATAATGAAAGCTCCATATAAAAATTGAAGAGCATCTCATGATCTGGGGTCTTCCTCTGTTTTTAAGACATGTTTATGTATGCTTTACCTATATTTATGTGTGTATGGCTAAAGGCTACTAAAAGATAAAACATGTCTGCATGCATCTGATATTGAAAACTAATTTGGGTGCTGGCAATTGCGTACAGCTCAATAATGTGCACACAATATATGTTTGTTTCAGGACAAGCTGTTAGATGCTAGTACAGTTACCCACTTGTTCCAACTGACAGAAGATATAGGATGTGTAATGACTGGAATGATAGGTAAAGTTCAAATATACTTGTTTTACCACTGTCTTTTTTCCCCACCTCCTTTAGATGGGTCAAGTAAACAGACAACATTGGCAGTGATGCCAAAAAATGATGCTAAAAAATTCATATGATAACAAAAGTTCATAATTTGTTGTTTTTTTTTTGTTGTTTTCTTTGTTCCCCAATTTACCTAATTTCATTACTAAAACTTTAGTTATGACCAGAAAGCAAAAGAAACAGAAGGTTGTTCATCCACAAGTCCAATAAGTACTATGTTGGAAACTGTAAAAGAAAAAGATTTTGACAAGATTTTGGGCTTAATGGACCTTTATAATTATAAATGTATATAACCTTCTTCTTCAAGTGTCAGAATTGCTGTTGCTTAATGTGAATATGTCGAAAGAATGTGCATATATAAAGCATTTCTAATATAAATAATAAGGCAGTATTCTAATGCAAAAAAAAGAACAATCCAATGTTGCATTGAATGTACTATATTGAATTTTATATATTGTATCACATATATTTCATATTATGATATGACTATATTACAGCTGATAGCAGAAATCAGGTACAGAGAGCAAGGTATGAGGCAGCCAAGTGGAAGTACAATTATGGTTATGAAATACCATTAGATATGCTGTGTAAAAGGATAGCAGATGTGTCACAAGTCTACACACAGAGTGCTGAAATGAGACCTCTTGGATGTAGTAAGTTTGTTGGGTTTTGTTTTGCTTCAGACTGGTTTTCAAAAGTTGGTTAAAAAATTCCACCAATCTGTATGGTAACTGGAGTTCCTTAGGTTTTCATTGAAAAATGAGTCAAAAATGAACATAAAATTTGGAAAAGGAAACATTCATTTGGACATTTAGTCTGGTTTTCATTAGAGGTTGTTAAAAATATCATAAATCTGTATGGTAACTGAAGTTCCTTAGATTTTCATTGAAAAATAAATGAATCAAAATGAATATAAAATTTGGAAAAGGAAACATTCATTTGACATTTAGAAGCATATGGGTTGGGACTGTGGACATTAAACATTATGAATATTATAAATGAAATTGTCCATATTTTAGCCTGGACAAAAACTGTCAATATTTATGCCCCAACAGAGTGGGAGCATATAGCGTTGCACTTGTCCGTCAGTCCGTCCGTATGTCTGTCCGCACTCACAGGAGAGTAATTATGTGGCTAGAGGGACAATAGGTTCTCTTTGATGTCATTCATTCCGTTATGCTTTTATGTGGCTATTTTCTTTTGCGTGGCTAAAAAGAACAATAGAGAGAACAATAGAGTAGCCACATAATTACTGTCCTGTGAGAACGTCCGTCCGTCCGTCCAACTGTCCGTACGTCCCGAAATCTTGTGAACGCAACTCCTCTTAAACCGGATGGCAGATTTTGCTTAAACTTTCAGGGATGAACAACCTTAATGTGTAGATGGTAGTTAAGGAAGGAATTTTTGCTGCGACCAAATTTAACAGAATTATGGCCCTTTGTTGATTGTTTCACTTACTATGTAGAAATTTTGTGAACGCAACTCCTCTTAAACCGGATGGCAGATTTTGCTTAAACTTCCAGGGATGAACAACCTTAATGTGTAGATGGTAGTAAAGGAAGGAATTTTTGCTGCGACCAAATTAAACAGAATTATGGCCCTTTGTTGGTTTTTTTACTATATACCATATAGAAATTTTGTGAACGCAACTCCTCTTAAACCGGATGGCAGATTTAGCTTAAACTTCCAGGGATGAACAACCTTAATGTGTAGATGGTAGTGAAGGAAGGAATTTTTGCTGCGACCAAATTTAAAAGAATTATGGCCCTTTGTTGATTTTTTCACTATATACTATATAGAAATTTTGTGAACGCAACTCCTCTAAAACCGGATGGCAGATTTTGCTTAAACTTCCAGGAACGAACAACCTTAATGTGTAGATGGTAGTAAAGGAAGGAAGTTTTGCTGCGACCAAATTTAACAGAATTATGGCCCTTTGTTGATTTTTATGCCCCCACAATGTGGGAGCATATAGCGTTGCACTTGTCCATCCGTCCGTCAATCCGTCAGTCCGTCCTTCCCGAAATCTTGCGAACGCAACTCCTCTTAAACCGGATGGCAGATTTTGCTTAAACTTACAGGGATGAACAACCTTAATGTGTAGATGGATGTAAAGGAAGGAATTTTCGCTGCGACCAAATTTAACAGAATTATGGCCCTTTGTTGATTTTTTCACTAGATACTATGTAGAAATTTTGTGAACGCAACTCCTCTTAAACCGGATGGCAGATTTTGCTTAAACTTATAGGGATGAACAACCTTAATGTGTAGATGGTAGTAAAGGAAGGAATTTTTGCTGTGACCAAATTTAACAGAATTATGGCCCTTTGTTGATTTTTTCACTATATACTATGTAGAAATTTTGTGGACGCAACTCCTCTTAAACCGGATGGCAGATTTTGCTTAAACTTACAGGGATGAACAACGTTAAGGTGTAGATGGTAGTAAAGGAAGGAATTTTCGCTGCGACCAAATTTTACAGAATTATGGCCCTTTGTTGATTTTTTCACTATATACTATGTAGAAATTTTGTGAATGCAACTCCTCTTAAACCGGATGGCAGATTTTGCTTAAACTTCCAGGGATGAATAACCTTAATGTGTAGATGGCAGTAAAGGAAGGAATTTTTGCTGCAACCAAATTTAACAGAATTATGGCCCTTTGTTGATTTTTTCATTATATACTATGTAGAAATTTTGTGAACTCAACTCCTCTTAAACCGGATGGCAGATTTTGCTTAAACTTCCAGGGATTAACAACCTTAATGTGTAGATGGTAGTAAAGGAAGGAATTTTTGCTGCAACCAAATTTAACAGAATTATGGCCCCATTGTTGATTTTTAGTTTTCAACTTGTGGCACATGTAGTCCAAAAAATATTTGACCTAGAGTCATAAGATTGACAGAACAGTGGCGTGTGGGGGCATCCGTGTCCTATGGACACATTTCTAGTTTCACTCTATACCATATAGAAATTTTGTGAATGCAACTCCTCTTAAACTGGATGGCAGATTTTGCTTAAACTTCCAGGGATCAACAACCTAAATGTGTAGATGGAAGTAAAGAAAGGAAATTTTGCTGTGACCAAATTTAACAGAATTATGGCCCTTTGTTGATTTTTCCACCATATACCATATAAATGTTGTCCTTTGGACACAGTTCTAGTTTAGGATAAATTTCAAAATATGTACAGTCTGAATTTTGAACAATACAAACCTTGATCATATGGCATTGATGTGCAGACATCATATACCAACAGACGGATCATTGTCTTCACTTGTTGCATGGGTAGAGCAAGCTTAGGGTTAAGTGATGTGTTTGTACTTAATTTCTCAGATTCACAAATGTTATGTATATTATTTCCTTAATGATGTGTACTGTGCTTTAATGTATATAGAGAATTATCAGGATAACAGTTCAATGTTTATTAATAGAATGAACACTTTATTTACAGGTATGATTCTCATAGGTTATGATCAGGAAAATGGTCCTCTGGTATATAAAACTGACCCGGCAGGTTATTTCTGTGGGTTCAAGGCAACAACAGCTGGAGTGAAACAGCTAGAAGCCAACAGTTTCCTGGAGAAAAAAATCAAGAGAAAACAGGATTTCACATTCAATGAAGCTGTTGAGGTAACGTATTCTTGAATATAACATCTAAAATATGACAGTTTAATATTAGACGGTTAATGTGCACCTTCTTTCCTGCAGGCACAGGTGAGGGATTTATTAAATCTAAGGGCTTCTGCAGCTGTTAATGCACAAAAAAGGTGCAATAAGTGCTATTCTTGCATAAAAGTATACATCCAAATAGGATATTCTGCATTTCGTTATTTGTATTTGGTATAAATAAATCATTGCTTGTTTGATGCTTTTCACATGCTTATGCGATGTCATTTGATTATGTCATTTATGTTTTGGTTATAAAACTACAAGAGCAGTCATTGAATCAATCTGTTTTTAAATTATGCCTCAAGTCACAAAATAATATGATATAAAAAACTATGCAACAATGCTGCTTGGTCACAACAATCTATCAAATAATGCATGTTTTGTCCTCGGTTAATTTTTACCTGTGTTTGCAGTTTTTAGACAGGGAGATAATTCTTGCTATCTTAATGATTCTGAAACTTTATTTGTCAAGTGTCCTTGATATTTGTTTTCCTCTATTGCTAGAAAATTCTTTCTTGTCTGAAAGTGTCATTTTTTCCTAAAATTCATTTGCAGATCTGGTTATTAAAACATGATGGATATATATAAATGTCGTGAAATATTAATGATGTTAGAGTAAGGGACCTTGACTGTTCAAAGAATATTTATAGTAATATATATAGATTTTGTAATCTGTTTCTTTATATATTTTGTAATCTGTTTCATTACAGGTAAATATGTTTATTGGACATTCATGCAATGTGTACACTACATGGCCAAAACTGAAAACCATTTAAAATTGTATATTTCAGATTGCGATAACATGCCTGTCCACAGTGTTGTCTGCAGATTTTAAGGCATCAGAAATAGAAGTTGGTGCAGTTACTAAGGCAAACCCACATTTTAAGTAAGTTAACTGGCTTGCAGAAAGTTGAAATTTTCTTGTCTGTACTTGTAGCCTTTTTAAAGCCCCAACCCTGAAGGATGACATATGTTATTGAATTGTTTGTGTCCACTTTCTTTCCAGCCTGCAACTTTGTTATTGTGCTCCCACTATAGGGGGGGCATTTAGATTTACCCTTGTCCGTCCGTCCATTCCTACGAATGGTCATTTATTGGGTACTTCTTTTTTTAAAAAGTACTGAATAAGAGAACAAAAGTACCCAACAATACTGACGGAATGAATAGAATTACCCAACAAGTGTCCTCTCGTTCGCCCGTCCGTCCTTCCGTCTGTTCCCTTTTTGTGTCGCACGTAGCTCAAAAAGTTATTGACCTAGAGTCATGAAACCTTACAGGAATGTTGATCAGCATGTGAAGTTGTGCACCTGGGTATTTTCATGTGGATATATTTAGTATTTTTAGAGTTATTGCCCTTGACTTAGTAAAAATTTGCAATTTTCAACTTGTGTCGCACGTAACTCAAAAAATATTTGACCTAGAGTCATGAAACCTTACAGGAATGTTGATCAGCATGTGTAGTTGTGCACCTGGGTATTTTTGTGTGGATATATTTAGTATTTTTAGAGTTATTGCCCTTGAATTAGTAAAAATTTCCAATTTTCAACTTGTGTCGCACGTAACTAAAAAAGTATTTGACCTAGAGTCATGAAACCTTACAAGAATGTTGCTCAGCATGTGTAGTTGTGCACCTGGGTATTTTCGTGTGGATATTTTTAGTATTTTTAGAGTTATTGCCCTTGACTTAGTAAAAATTTCCAATTTTCAACTTGTGTCGCACGTAACTAAAAAAGTATTTGACCTAGAGTCATGAAACCTTACAAGAATGTTGCTCAGCATGTGTAGTTGTGCACCTGGGTATTTTCGTGTGGATATTTTTAGTATTTTTAGAGTTATTGCCCTTGACTTAGTAAAAATTTCCAATTTTCAAATTGTGTCGCACATAACTCAAAAAATATTTGACCTAGAGTCATGAACTAACATAAATGATGGTCATCATGTGTACTTATGCACCTTGGGGTTTTCTTGTGGATTTATTCAGTATTTGTAGTATTTGCCCTTTACCTAATAAAAGATTTTTAGTTTTCAACTTGGGCACAAGAAAAAAAAAATTGGCCTAGAGACATAAGATTGACAAATCGGTGGAGTGTGGGGGCACCTGTGTCCTATGGACACATTTCTAGTTCATGGATAGATATTGAGATTTCTAGAGCCTTTGGTAAATATTCAATAAAGTAAGATGGATATTAAATATTTCAGTTTATATTTTTGGTAATTTATGTAAAATCAATGGATGTAGCAGGGGATAGTTTATATGACCAATCATCTGTACAAACAATATATGGCATATTTTCAAAGCATCTATGTTATTTTAAATCAAAATGCCTGCAACATCTACCATCACATTATGTTTAATAATTGTAGACTATGTTCCTGCCAGTTATTGGGTGCAAGTGTCCAAAATGTCTTATCTGTATTATAAATGGAAATGATATTTTGATAAAAGATTTATTACTTATTTTTGCAGGATCTTGACGGAAGAAGAAATAGATGTACATCTAGTTGCTATAGCTGAGAAAGACTGATCATAAATTATTTCTTACATATTCATTTCATAACCATGGGAACAAAGGAATGGAGTGATTACGTACTTTAGTTAAAGAATATTAGTTTTGAACATAATGTTAACAAACACTATTTGAAGAATATGTAAAATTTGAGCATAAATGTAGCTAAAAGTGTATTTCTATAAAATGTGTTCAGATTTTGTGTCAATCATCAATTAAAATGATGTCAAAAATGGTTTTTAATGTAGATTTAATGACAAATGTTATATGTTAACATAGTTTGAAGACTCGAAGTTGAATGCTGAACTGAAGAGGAAATAACCATACTTATATAATCTGTTTATGAATTCTGTTTTCCAGGTATATATTTAACAAGTGCTAAACATGCTCATAAATCTCCATTTGCTTGAACTGTTTTCAATTTTACATTTGAAAATAAAAATTGAATTCCAACCAATTTGTTGTAATTTATTTGAAGTTCAATTGTAAAATTCAAGATGTTATCACATGACCAACAGTATAAGTTACCCCCAACTATAGTACATCTAAAATTGCTATAAGGAATTTAAGTATGGAAGATAATGGATTTATTTAAGTTTTACAATTACCTTGTATTAGAAGTAGTTTTATCTAGGGTAATGTAAAATTGTCAGGACAAAAAGTGTCATTCTCACTTTCAATTCTAGTTTACTTTATTCAAATACTTGCATGTACTAAGTCTTATGATTATAATCAATGTATTTGTCTGCTGTCCGTAGTTAACATTTTTCTGTGTTTTTTTCTTTTTTTTAAATTTAAGCCAAAAATACCTGTATGAGCGATGTCACGATTTTTGACATGGCATGTGCACAAAATCATTGATAAACTCTTAAAACCATATATAAAGTAGCAGCATAATACCTGTATCTAGTTCCTAATATTTTATTGTCTATGCATAAATTTCATGAGTGTTAAAGAACAAACACATTCTAGATAATGGAAACAACATAGTTTTACTGTTTACAAATCCCATGAAATATATTTCATTTGATATACATATAGCTTTATACCATTTAACTGATAAATCTCATATAGAATTATTATAAGCAATATTTCTCTTAAAAGAACATGAACCACCTGAGGGTGGTTTTCCAAAGAAGCAACAATTTACTTCAATCAAATGCAAGTAAGTGTGAATTAACACAAGGCTAAAAAAACAGTTTGTTTAGGTCCTGAACACCCGCCTTATAAAAATGGCTGCTTTGATAAGGCACCTACATATACATGTATTTCTGTCTAACATATCTTGTGAACATCTTTCAATGTAATTTGAGGATGCATCACACTATTATGTATTGTGTAGGTCAGCGAGTATTCATGGAGTTGTGTCCCTTTATTTTAATCTTGCCAATGTTTTGCGTGCTATTTTTATTATTATGCCGGCATATTAAAATTGAACCGTCTGTCAGTCCGTCCGTCCCGCTTTATACATATAGACAGTGGTGGTAGTGTCCGCTCTGAAACTTCAGTATCCTTGAAAGGCTTTTAATTAATCATTCATATATGAAATAACCATAGATGTATGGTGTGTCGTGAACAAGACTCTGGTTTCTACAACTTAGGTCAAGGTCACTGTGTGGGTTTAAACTGATGTAAATATACATATAGGCAGAGATGGTCGTGTCTGCTCTAAAACTAATATGCATTAAAGGATTATATTTTTTATTTCACATATGAAATTATCATAAATGTATGATATGTTGCCCTAAATACCCGTGTTCCTACGCCTTAGTTCAAGGTCACTGCTGAGGTTTAAACTTTTTCAATATTTATGTTATATACATATAAATGGTGGTTGTTGTGTCTGCTCTACATGAAAGTTTCAATTTTTATTTAAAAATATTAAGTCACCATAGATGGACAATGTGTTGTGAACAAGACCCAGGTATCTTTGTCTCACTAAAGGTCACTGCTGGAGTTTGAACTTTGTAAAGTTTTACCACCACACTTTACATGTAATAGGTGGTTTATAACTAGAATCCTTCGGGGGCATTTGTCACGTTCTGTGACAGCTCTTGTATGCAAAATATTATTAAACATGCTAATCAGCTTGTCCAAATAAAATGTGCATGATTTTCATGCTTGCCATTTCCTATTACATTCCATCCTCTAATTCAATATTAAAATTATGCATACCATTTTTTTTGCAAAGCAGCAACCTCTTTTTGGAACCTGATGATATTCAAGATCCAGGAGTTACAGCCCTTTGTTTAATTTTTCACTGAGTTTTAATTTTTCACTTCAGTTTTATCAAGGCTATTTTCATGTCAACACTTGATTCATGTCAACTCTCAATTAATGACTATTTGTATGATGCTTAACAGTGTTCTGTCTGAGATCACTGCAGTCCAGATGAACGCTTAAAACATTTTTTTCTTCCATCTTTATTCCTAGAGATATGCTCCACCCAAACACAAGATGAAAATCAATGCACACCTCAGGCAATTGAGCGATTAAATCAATTACAGCCCTCCAGTAGGTTTTGTTATTTGTTGCAAAGATTTTACAAGAGGTAAATATCAAAGTGTAATTTATAGTTGAGCTTAGTTTGGTAACCAGAAACTGACAAACTAAATTCAATCATAAAATTTGTTAATTAAGCCAATATTTTGGCATTTCACAATGGGTAAAGATTTCTCCTAAAACTACAAACCAAGGATGGCTTGCAAAATACAGATTGCTCTCTCTGTGTTTCAGATTAGCCTAAATACATTAGTGAAAACTTCTTAAATTGAGTACTTCTTAAATTTCCATTGAAGAGCACTTGTGAACATCTAAAACATGATTTTATCCTGTAATTGTGTCTCCTTTTTAGCTTGACTATTCAATAAGAATAAGTAGAGCTATTGTAGTCACCCGAGCGTCTGCGAAACCATTTTGTGTTAGAGATTTTGTAATACCTCAAATATTTTCAAAGTCCATTGACATATGGCTTTGAAACTTTGCACACTTGTTCACCATCATGACCCCAACCTGTAGACAGGAGGAGGTAACTGTATCAAGCATTTTGACAGAATTATGCCCCTATTTCAACTTAGAATTTACGTTCCCACATCATAATAATATGACAAGGCTTATAAATCTAGCATCCATATTTCCAGAATTATCTCCTTAAACTTTGAATTTTTCTTATTCATTCTTTAAACTTTCTTTTACTTTAAATTTAAAATAAACATTCATTATGAACAGCTTCATTACTAATTGTTCTTTGTTACACTCACATCATGTATGATGTCTTGCATCTTTATTTCAAGAGTTATTTCCTCTTTAAGAATTTTGCTTTTAAAAATGTTATATTTTGGTAACGGGGGTGTTTCAAAAATTAACTTTAGAGTGTCCTTCAGTCCGTCCGTCTGTTCATAAAAAACTGTTTCCTGTGATAACTTATAACTTATGGATTGTTTGCAATACTATGATAATTGCTTGTTTATGCTCCCCGAAAAATTTCGGGGGAGCATATAGTCGCCCCCTTGTCCGTCCATCCCCTTTTCTTGTCCAGGACAACTTTGAAACAACAAGAGGTATCAACATGAAACTTTGTAGGTAGATAGATCTCATTGAGTAGGCATGCTGTGCACAAGAACCGTAACTCTGCCTTGCCTAATTTTTGAATCATTCCCCTTTGTTTATTTTTACACTTTGAACTTTGTCCGGGACACAACTAAAAGTATAAGAGGTATCAGCATGAAACTTTGTAGGTAGATAGATCTCATTGAGTAGGTGTGCAGTGCACAAGAACTGTAACTCTGCCTTGCCAAATTTTTTAATTATCCCCCTTTGTTTATTTTACACTTTGAACTTTGTCCAGGACATAACTGTAAAACTATAAGAGGTATCAATATGAAACTTTGTAGGTAGATAGATCTCATTGAGTAGGTGTGCAGTGCACAAGGACCGTAACTCTGCCTTGCCTAATTTTTGAATTATCCCCCTTTGTTTATTTTACACTTGAACTTTGTCCGGGACATAACTCTAAAAGTATAAGAGGTATCAACATGAATCTCTCAAGGTAGATAGATCTCATTGATTAGGTGTGCAGTGCACAAGAACCGTAACTCTGCCTTGCTTAATTTTTGAATTATCCCCCTTTGTTTGTTTTGACACTTTGAACTTTGTCAGGGACATAACTCTAAAACTATAAGTGGTATCAACATGAAATTTTGTAGGTAGAAAGATCTCATTGAGTAGGTGTGCAGTGCACAAGAACCGTAACTCTGCCTTGCCTAATTTTTGAATTATTCCCCTTTGTTTATTTTTACACTTTGAACTTTGTCCAGGACATAACTGTAAAACTATAAGAGGTATCAACATGAAACTTTGTAGGTAGATAGATCTCATTAAGTAGGTTTGCAGTGCACAAGAACTGTAACACTGTCTTGCCTACTTTTGGAGTTATTGCCCTTTGTCCATTTTGACACTTTGAACTTTGTCCGGGACATTACTCTAAAATTATAAGAGATATCAACATGAAACTTTGTAGATAGATAGGTCTCATTGGGTGGAAGTGCAGTGCTTATGAATCATTACTCTGCCTTGCCTCATTTTGAAGTTATTGCCCTTCGTTTATTTTTACTTTTTGACTTTTGTCTGGGACATAACTTTAAAACTATTAGAGATATCAACATGAAACTGTGTAGGTAGCTAGATATAATTGGATAGAACTGCAATGCTTAAATAACCTAAACAAAGCCTGGTCTAATTTTGGAGTTATTGCCCTTTGTTCATTTTTACACTTTGAATTTTACCCGGGACATAACTCTGATATCATCAGGAAACTTTATAGATAGATAGATCTCATTGAATAGAAGTGCAGTGCAAAAAAACATATCTCCGCCTTGCCTAATTTTGAAGTTTTTGCCCTTTGTTCATTTTTTTTATACTTTCCTGTGTGGGAGCATCACCCGGTTCAACCGGTTCTTGTTTTACTAAGAATTTATGTTAAAGTTTTTGTAATACCTCAATATTTTCAAAGTTAATTGACATCTGGTTTTGAAATTTTGCACACTTGTTCACCCTCATGACCCCAGCCTGTAGACAGGAGGAGGTAAATGTATCAAGCATTTTGACAGAATTATGCCCCTTTTTTTACTAAGAATTTATGTAAGTTTTTGTAATACCTCAAATATTTTTAAAGTCCATTGACACATGGCTTTGAAACTTTGCACACTTGTTCACCCTCATGACCCCAGCCTGTAGACAGGAGGAGGTAACTGTATCAAGCATTTTGACAGAATTATGCCCCTTTTTTACTAAGAATTTATGTTAAAAGGTTTTGTAATACCTCAATTTTTTTCAAAGTTAATTGACATCTGGTTTTGACACTTTGCACACTTGTTCACCACCATGTTCATTGACATCTGGTTTTGAAATTTTGCACACTTGTTCACCATCATGACCCCAGCCTCTAGACAGGAGGTGGTAACTGTATCAAGCATTTTGACAGAATTATGCCCCTTTTTTTTACTAAGAATTTATGTTTTTAGTTTTTGTAATACCTTAAATATTTTCAAAGTCCATTGACATAATATATGGCTTTGAAACTTTGCACACGAGTCTTGTTCAACACCATGACCCCACCCTGCAGACAGGAGGAGGTAACTGTATCAAGCATTTTGACAGAATTATGCCCCTTTTTTACTAAGAATTTATGTTAAAGGTTTTGTAATACCTCAATTTTTTTCAAAGTTAATTGACATCTGGTTTTGACACTTTGCACACTTGTTCACCACCATGACCCAAACATATAGACAGGAGGAGGTAACTGTACATTAAAGTTTTTGTAACACCTCAAATATTTTCAAAGTCCAGCACACGAGTCTTGTTCAACACCATGACCCCACCCTGCAGACAGGAGGAGGTAACTGTATCAAGCATTTTGACAGAATTATGCCCCTTTTTTTACTAAGAATTTATGTTAAAGGTTTTGTAATACCTCAAATTTTTTCAAAGTTAATTGACATCTGGTTTTGACACTTTGCACACTTGTTCACCACCATGACCCAAACATATAGACAGGAGGAGGTAACTGTACATTAAAGTTTTTATAACACCTCAAATATTTTCAAAGTCCATTTACATATGGCTTTGAAACTTTGCACACTTGTTAACCATTATGACCCCAACCTGAAGACAGGAGGAGGTAACTCTATGAAGCATTTTGACAGAATAATGCCCTTTTTTCAACTTAGAGAAGTTGCAGCACTTTAAAATCAATTTGATGAGTAAAAAAAACCCGCAAAATAGTGATTTTTGGCAATTTTGAGACGTCCCCCATTGCCATTGTAACAGGAAATTTAAGATGGAGCATGCTGTTACAGAGGCTATGGTCAAGTCAACATTTGTGCCAAGTTTCATCAGTATTGAAGCATTTTTCATAGTTTAATAGCAGTTTGAACTTGTAACAGGAGGCTTTTTAATAAAAACGGCCATTTTTCACAATATGCTCATGAAGTAAAGGTTTAAAATTAGATGGGTCCGATATTTCTATCATTTCAATAACATTGAAAACTAAATGGGTCAGATATTTCTATCATTTCAATAAGATTTAAACTAAATGGGTGCGATATTTCTATCAAATGGCAATTAAAGGACTACTGATTCCATGTTATCTTTCTCAGAGTTTTTATTCAGGTCAGCTTACAATTTGTTTAATACTATAGTGAAATAAATACAACAATAACACAATGAATGTTGGATAAATGAAAACGAAGAAATGTGTTTCTATTCAGCCCAAGTTTTTATTCCCTTTAAGACAATTTGACAGGTGAGCAGTTTGGTATTTGCAGAAATATCTGCATAACCACATTTCCATGACTACCAGGTATAATAACAGTTGCTAAGGCAACCATTTATTATACCATCGAAAAAATGAAATGATGTTTAAAATGACATTTTTTTCATAATATTTTGTTTCCACTCTATTTTGCTATGTGGAAGTAACAATGATTGACTGTCCCTGGCAGACAAGAGATCTGGCTCGAAATTTTGCCATCTAACCTCCCTACGTAATAGTCTATAGAATAGAAGTTTGACTTTTCAAGTCAAGAAATATATGATATTAAATACTGAAAAAATATGATGTAATAAATATGTGATAATAAAAAGACTGTACTTCAAGTTAACACTTTATATGGTAGGTCACTTTCACAGAAAGTTGGAATAACGATGGTTTGATCTAGTCATGCAGTGACAGCCAACCACTTCACAGTAAAATGTATTAACAAATGTGAAACTTATGATGTAACAAACCCAGCACATTACTGAAAGACTTAGTAACTTTGTTTTGTGCGAGAAAAAAAAATGGTTCTCTTTATAAGGAGGGGGGAAAGTTATGAGAAAATCAATGTGTGAGTAGACTAACTACATTTGAGCTGCGTCAAGACAAAACCAACATAGTGCGTTTGCCACCAGCATGGATCCAGACCAGCCTGCGCATCTGCGCAGTCTGATCAGGATCCATGCTGTTCACTTATCAACTCTATTACAAGTAGAGAAACTGATAGCGAACAGCATGGATCCTGATCAGACTGCGCGGATGCGCAGGCTGGTCTGGATCCATGCTGGTCGCAAACCCATTATGTTGGTTTTGTCATGACACGGCTCATTTAATGGTGAGCACACCCTTTTGAACCCAGTCAGAAGGTGTGGGGGAAGTGATTTTGTTACAGATGAAAATTACTTTCCATGCAAAAATTGAAGAGTTTATCACAGTCTTATAAATAAATAAATAAATAGATAATAACAAATGTGAAATTCCCATGATTAGCTAAGTAAAATCTACCTGTGTATTAATGAGGAATGTTATTTGGCACAAACCAACGGTATTCTAACAGATGAAAGTTATGCCATGACTTATCATCCTATGTCCATCATACAGTAGGTTCAGACTAGCAGAGAATTGTTTACTGGAGGACTATTTTTAAAATAAAAAACAAAAACATGGCCACAATAAAAAAAACCTCTGCTAGACAAGATCAAATGATTTTCTCACATATTCAATTTCGAAGTTTTTTGTGTTTTTTCGGTTAAATTAGTTAATTTAGCATGTAGGTTTAATTGGGACAGGTGATAAATCATGGCTGGTGACAACAGTATGTAAAATGATGATTCATTTTCCTATCACATTTGTTAAATACGCAGGGTATTGCGAGGTATTTCACCAACAACACAAGAATATATTCCAACAGTTCGCTTGATGAATTTGAACAATTAGAGCAAACAAAATCAAGCACAACTTTTAGAAAACCTTGTATTTACATAATGCACCCAGCTTTCTAAACCAACCATAACAGTCGAAAGATGTTCATAAAAGTAACATTTTCCAATTTCTTCCATACAATTCAGTTCAATGCATTTTGCATTCACCTTGTCACCAAAAATTTGTCTGTTAAGTTTTTGCCTTTCATTTTTTTGTCTATTATCTGTGTCCAAATAGCTTTAACAGAAAAATTCCGAAAAATTTTAACAATGATTTTTCTTATGTTACTTTTTAGAAACACTGCCTGACTGGCACAACGAAAAAATAAGAGTTTTTATGATCCTCAGATCTATAAATAGTAACAAAACAAGACGTCATGGAGATATAAATGCAAATACCACATACACAAGTCCTTCATAACCAGTCTACTGGTCCAGACCACACTAGAACCAGTCCAGTCACACGATGAATATATGTGCAAACAAACCAGTCTGCAAAAACTGTTTACTTTCAAATTTTAAAAAATAAAAACAAAACTTTTTTTTCAAATTTACATTACAATCTATAAGATTGTCTTAGTTAGAAATTTCAAATTTTCAAAATAAACAGTTACGCAGACTGGGTTGATAAACAGATCTGAGGTCAAAGTGATACATACATTAATGATCATTACTTATAGAGGGATGTTATAATATAAAACAATAAACAACACCAAACAAATCATTTTCAGATTTTCCAGCATTTGATCAAATAGTTATATATAAACATCATAGCATTAATTTTAATCAAATTTCATCTCAACAATAAACTAATGTTATTTCTATAATCATTTATACATGATCGTCAAGTTTAAAACTAGTCACAAGTTTTTAAAACTTTAAAATCTCCAAACGAATCATAATTTTGAAATTAATAATGCTAAAAAATACAAAACAAGGTTGTTAAAGGAAACCTAAAAATCATTTGCTGGTGAAGAAAAACCATCTAATGGATCAACAATAAGAATAAATATAATCATAAAATTGTTCTACAGAACTTGTTAAAATCTGAATCATTATTATGATAAATGATAGGAAAATTATAAATGGTCACATTTCTATATGTCTATAAATGTCTGATCATTGAAAAGTTATCATAATTTCTGTGTTTTCTTTGTATTTACAAATCCATCATATATTTATTATATTTAATGTAAAACATTAACATCAAACTACCTTCTATATTGTTAGAAATTTCCATAAATTTAAGTTAATAATAACACTTGAAGAATTCAAAACACTGCTGGCAATCTTTGACCAGATAAAAAACAAAAACCATAAAAACTGTATTCTTAAATTTGCCTTAAAAACTACTTTTATTGCAGCTTGGTGATTCAACATAGCTAGCTAAGTTTACAAAAAGTAAAACATAGTATATTTCTAAATTAATCTATACACAGCTTTCCTCAATGTAAAATGACTCTGCTTATTTTAAAGCTAAACTAGATGGAACATTTTATGGGAGTCAACAAAAGTTATTAATAATTCCTGAAGATTACCGGACAAGAAAAATAAAGACTTATCTTTAATGAAGCAAAGGTTCTGAAGTAATTGAAAATGGTGGCACAAACTGGTGAAGAAAATAAGCCTGAATTTTTATATAATACCCTGCATTAAAAGTTTAATGATCTTGCTCAGCATCGAATTTGGAATGGTCAATTGCTGGTTAAAGTTTAAAGCAATTTCATTACGGTATTAAAATATAGAAACTGGGCAACCAAAAATAGAACCTGACTAAACTGCCTCTATGTGCAGGTAGGACTGGCGTATATAACTTTCATTATTATGTCTTGTACTCAAATAAGTGTTAATTAAATAGCTTGTAAAATCCCATAAATCATTAATCTTTCTTATTGTATGATAAAAGTATGTTTAAATTTTGTTTAATAAAACTGTTAAAAAAAATGTAACAAATTGTGAGAAAGTTGACAGAATAAAATAACATTCCTTTTTTTAAAATATGATCACATGTAATAAATTAACAAATGTGGTAATACTTATTTTTTTTCTAATATTTTTTTTACGAAAGACCTCATAAGACTGTGTGGTTAAAATTCTGATGCTATGTAATGTTTCAAAAACTTTGTGAAAAATGAAATAACTAGTATAAACTGAATTATTTCTATATGACAATTTCATAATGACTATTTCATAATCAGCCTCCGCTGCTTTAACTATTAAAAAAAAAAGTTGAAAAAAAATGAACCAGGCATTTAAAGTGAGTAAATATTAAGCACTATATATATATTACTATTTCTGAATAGATAATTCATCTTAATTATAATTTAAATACAAGTATCTTGAATAATGTACAGTTAACTATTCATAATGATAACTCTATATTTACAAAACAAAAAAATTAACACCAACACCAATAGACCAAGAAATCCTACTAAAGTAAGCACTTAAAATACTAGCATCTAAACATTTTGCTTTTTGTTTACAAGATATTTCTTGGTCTATTAGGAAATAATAAATAATAACATTAATATAATCCCTGTAATAGTAATGAAACAATAATGTAATCCCACATCTTCTCTCAAATATTCAGGAGTTGCCTCCCTTATACAAAAGTACAGTGCTAGGGGTGGGGCTGTCTCCCTTTTAAAATCATATAGTTATTATAATAATATATCTGCAAAATAGAACTAACTTGCATAGAAAAAATTACAATTTAATGGAAATGAAATTCTAAAAAGATAATGTTTGGGGTCTCTAAAAACTTCATCAGCGAGTTTCCCGTCTATTGAGACAGAACATGAAAACTAAAACAGCTTAAACTGTAAATTTATAAAATCTAAAACCGTGTGTTTATATGAGCCTATGGCACAACCTGTATAGAGGTATGTTGTATTAACATGGACTGCACCAACTAGCACATTTTGTGGATGGTACGTAACTCTCGATGAAACACGATGGAATATTTACATGTGTGTGACCTTATGAAGGCTAAAATATTGATCAATCATAAAGTTATAATCATTTAATAAAATTCAATAAAACATTTAAAATTGTGATTGTTAATGTAAATGAGAAAAGGCAGGCCCATTTCAGGTTCAATGTCTATACTGGTGATATATTAACATTTAATAATGATTATCACAGTTGTTTTAATAGCTTTTAAGCGATGCTATGTATATAATATACCAAGATGGTATCATAATTGTACCCCACCCCTTTCTAGCATCCATGACCAATCAATCATACACAAGTATCACATGCATCAACACATCAAGTGCACAGAAAAAAACATACAATATGTGCATCAAAATGTACATTCTATGTGCACATATATCACATGCAGTTATTGTTTTGCATTTTATATCATATGCACAAACCACATAAATAAGTGCACTGGTAACATGAAACCAGGTGCACTGGTAACATGAAACCAGGTGCTCCGGTAACAAGAAACCAGGTGCATTGGTAACATGAAACCAGGTGCACTGGTAACATGAAACCAGGTGCTCCGGTAACAAGAAACCAGGTGCACCGGTAACATGAAACCAGGTGCACCGGAAACATGAAACCAGGCACACTGACCATATCAACAATTTACACTGATCTTGCACTGACCATATATATATCACATGCACTGACCACATATAATCACGTGCACTGACCATGTTTCCAGGTAAATGATCTGAAAGACCTAGTAGCTGGTGACAACGGACTATGTATTTCTTCTACAGTTCAATAAAGTCTAGGCAGTGTCCTGATTTCACTAAATAATAACTTTTACTTTTTACATGACAGAAAGCTGGTTTAATCTGCAAAACACTACAGTTATGATGTTTTTTCAACTTCATTAAAAAACATGCTCAAAATAACACTCCCACCTTAAAATATATACATGTAGTTATATGAATTTTCATGTCTTTTTTCTTAGTAATTTTGGAAAAAGAAAATTGTAAACATTTCTTTTTATTATCTGAATAACATAACACAAAAAGTAGAAAAATTTCTAATTCGACATTTTAGATAATGTTCAGTACACGTGCCCAGACTTTATCAAACTGTAATATTAATAACACTGGCTTGAATCTTGAGTGATGAATAACAATTTCAATGAGTAGATAATGACATATAAACACATGGGCTGAAGTATCAATATTTTTTTTTAATAAGTTATAACACCAAGTACACCATTCCTCCTCACCAAGTATTTAAATTATCAACAACGTCAGTTTATCATAATTGTATATATGCATGTTATAATTAAAATAATAACAAGAAAAAAAACAAATAAAGTCCTCTCAACAAATTTTTTAACAGATGTTGAATAGTATTAATAATTGGTGAGTAAAACTGGTGTGCATTGTTTTATATGATCTATAATAACAACAGTGTGAAACAAAAGTAGGCAAAAAAAAAAGGAAAAATCCCTAATACTTCAATCAAAATGAGAAATAAAAACAAAATTAACTTGATATTTAAGTCACTAAGCATTCCAATAAAAGCAAAGTTAAAAACTCAAGGACAGGGTAGTTTAGTAAAGGTCATCTTGACCTTTAAAGGCAGAAGTCTAAAAATAACTGTCCCAATTTAAAGGAACTGTTCTATTTTTAGAAAGAAATTGCTGGAAAGTCAGGGGATTGAAGTAAAAGGGAGAAAGAGGGGGCAGGGGGGGGAAGGGAGAACATGTTCCAGTCGGCTCACAAGAAAGTAAACAGAAATAAACAGCTACCCGTTACATGTTTCTAAGAAACAATATATAGTCTCTGATTATAACATTCTCTTCTACCACAGACAAGAATGAGGTTACTTTAGTTGTACAAAAACAAAAATATCCAGCTCCATTAAAAAAAAACTACATAAAAAACCAGTAAATTTTTCATAAATGATCATGATCAAGTGTACTGTGCTCTTTTTACAATTGCAAACCTGATTTGTTTTAATTTTTTCATATATCTATCTATACTTAAAATCGAAATGGGGGGGACGAAAAAAATTTAAAACTTGTGATATCACAAAATATTATTCCGTGATTTCAGATAAAAACCCCTGTCGAAAAAAGAAATTGAGTGCTTCGTTTACTTTCAGTGAAACTACCAGAATGACACAATGCCTTATACTGAGTAAAAGACTGTAGCAATAGCTTAACAATGTGATTTATCACTAATAAAAAAAAAAAAGATAAAAAGAAGACAAAATACTACACAAGAGCCACGCTTGGGCTGGTATTAAATTAATATAGATACCACACACGCAAAAACGCACAAATCGTGATTATACATAAGTTTGTAAAACATTAGCTCTGTAACAAAGTACTTAAATAAGATTTAACAAATTTGACTAAACAATTATATATTAACAAATTATTATATTATCCCATTCAAAGGTATATATAATATGTATATATATCATAATACAATATCTATACTTAGATTGAATAACTACTATAAACAAAAATCTCTAACTACAATGCATACAGTGAATTCATCCCTAGAAATTAATTCAATAACTATAATTTTAAAGTGGAGAAACAAACAAAATTCCACAACAATCATGAATAAAACAGTCACTGTTTTAGGTGCTTATTTATGCAAGATAAAATGCTATGCTATCACTTTATGACAAACTATAAAGCATGGGTGTACTACCCATGACTCCTGAAACAGGTCTCATAATATTTACACATCATAATAATAACTACATCCTCCTTTACCTCAAGTCGAAAAAAATGGAACATTCCATGATAAAAATGGACCAGTCCTCTGTGATGATTATGATGCTCTGTGATGGTTTAAGTACATGTGTACTAAGAAATGGCGAAGAGAGATCTGTACCTATACTCCTATGTATATACATATACACAATAACCGCAAGTCCACTTGAATAATTTATATAGTCCACTATAATAGACGAAAGCATGCAGGTGATACTATTACATCAACATCAAATCAAAAATGGCATGCACAAGTGATTTCAAGTCACCAAGACTATAAAAGAATATCAGAAGAGTCCAGGACGAATCTATCGCCACTGTCACGTGCACTTGACAATGCCTTAAAAGAGTTACACAAAAATGATGAGAAGTTAATGTTAGTTTAAATATTGGTGTAAAATCAGTATTTTAAAGCCTAAGAAATAAAATAAATCCTAGCGGCCTGAAGCTTGTGCCTGTCTAGCCCGTTTAATTTCTTCTTGTTGTATACGTTGTTGTATAAGATACTGTGCTTTTGTGATGTTGTTTGGGGTTCCAGTAATGGTTACAATTCTATTTCTCGTGCCAGGCATATAAACACCCTTCTTCGAGATCTGTATGTTGGTTTGAGTATACTGCTGTAATTCAACTATTCCTTTTCCACCCGGGCCTAAAATAGCCCCTACTATACTTTCTGGAACTTCTAAATCTTGTTTAGCCGTGGCTGATTTGTCCCCTTCCGTAGGACTATACATTCCAGTCCCCAAACCAAATGAATTTTGGTTGATATTTATGCTAGGTGATCGCTCCCCACCTAATTGCTGTGGAGCAAACCCTTGTTGTGCACCTGGATAGCCAGGGGCTGTATATGACTCGTTCAACATTGGACTTCCACCGTATCGCTCTTGCTGCATACTCGGAGAAGAGCTTCCAAACAGACTAGAGTTTGCCGCCGTTGACCCTGAACTCCCCAAGCCTGAAGACCCGCTACCAACTGGTCCAAACAGACTTCCAGAAGATGTGGGGGTACTCATCATATAACCTTGTTGTGGGTTTTGTGATGGAGTACCAGCAGCTGTTGTCATCATGCTCTGACCTTGTGCATTTTGCAAACTCATCTGTTGGGCTTGTTGAACATTTTGTTGCTGTCCACCGACATTTACTCCTACCCCTAAAATACCATATGTCGCAAGCGTATTCATTGCTGAACTAATTTCTTCTGTAGCCTGGTCCGTGTAACCACTACTTCTCAGTGTCATTCGAATATTTTCTAAAGCAGCAGGAGTCATTACCCCGCCAGCTAATAAACTTCCTATATTTGTATTTGGTACTCCTCCCATGTTTCCACCGAATGCATTTGGATTAAATCCGAAACCAAATGTAGCACCACCAGCAAAATTATTATTATTGACACCAGTTAATTCTTGTGTTTGGTTCTGCATGAAGTTTGTGTTGGCAAATGGTGAGCCTGTAGGGTTCGCACTTGCCACCGGTCCGGTATAATCTGCATAGCTTATATTTGGACAACTACCACTTTGTGGATCTTCAACAATTTTCTGTAATATCAGGTCCACTGCTTTTTTATTATTTTCTAAATCACCTGAAATGGATTAAAGGTAAAAAATATCTAAGTAACAATGAAAACTTTACTTTTCTTTTAAACAAAATAACAATCAAAATCTTACTTTTCTTTTAAACAGAATTACTGAGTTTCTTTAAACTTTTGATTTTCCAATTTTTAGTCTATTCTGTGTGTGTAGCTGATTGGGCGGGCACTTTACTGCTATGATGACCAAAATACTGTGTACTTTTTCTTACCATTATTTGCTAAAACAAATAGAAAGTAAAAAATAGAAGAAAAATATTTGGCTTATCAATATCATTTCAAGTAAAATGTATTTAAGTGCATATTTTTCTCATATCTTCCTTATCATTACACATCACTACATTTTAGTGGTTGATAAACATATAAGTTTTGTCAAACTGCCAACACTATTTTGATAAAATATAATTCCAAAGAAAGCCCATAAGTAGGTAAAGGAGTGACACAGTGACAATTTAGTCAGGTATAATATTCTATACACTCTGTCACTTAAATCCAATGCATATCACTAAATGCATAGTAACTTTAATTATCAATCACAGTGACTTAAAAATAATATTGCCAGAAAAGTCTGCATTCAATAATCTCTTTTTAGCATCATAATTTTTCAACTATGGTGGATTTTTTACATAGAAGGTATTCTAACTGTGTAAATCCACTGTACAAATTAGCACATATGCTAAATTTAGCAAACTATAACTTGCAAATGAAGATTGAATGCACTAACCTGCCACTGTGATACATCTTTCAGGTAGATTTGTTTCTTTTGACTTTTGGGAGATTTGAACGTAAGCACCGCTCTCTTCTTTGATCTGTTTGATGTAGTTACCTCCCTTGCCAATGATCATTCCCGCAGTACTGTTTGGAACGAGTATCTTCACCTGTAAACAACACAATGAACATTAAGTGATAGCCTTACATTTAACAGTAACAAGTGCACTCACATGATAAACACTCAACTTTCTATATATAGATCGTAACTAAACAAGTTCACATTGAAAGATGATGGAAATACAGGAATTTCTCATGTTGTTCATGGACTGATGCCTAATTGTTTAGAAATAACTGCCTTGTAGAACATTTCATCTGTAAAGGCCTATTAGGACTAAGTGTTAAAAAAAATAAAACTTTTTCAACAATAAAAATTCCAGCATACAAGAGCAAAGAACTTGACATTTTCCATTTGTCATTGTCACAGTTGAATTTATCCATCTAACAATTGTTTCAGCACAGATCTATTCCTCAAAAGCTACAGGAAAATTCTCACTTAATAAATTTCTTTGATTAATCCTGCATTCTCTTCAATTAATTAATTACATAAAATTAAATTAATTTATAAATAACAGTGTTATAGCAACTCTAAATTGCTACAGGACAATTAATTTAGGTTGTTCAATTAAATAATTTAATAACAATGAAATTATAGAAATTAAATTATGTTTGTATCTTAAATACCGTCATGTAACAATATTAAATCTGAGCATCAATGGAACGGAATATATCACCAAGCCTTGACTAATGTTGGTTTATTAACTGGTTCACAAAAAAACATGTGATTGTTTAAAATGTTCATTACTGTGTGCAGCTTTCAGGCCATTAAAGAGCACTTAATTAAGTGCTTATTATACAGTTGATTACATCTGAAGAAAACAGTTTTCTGTCCTAGACTAAATAAATGTAAACATTTACATTAAGTGGTTTGCAATAAAATGAACAGTAAAGCATTTCCAGTAATTAAAGTTTTTAAGAATTTTTTTTTTTTCTTTTTTTTCAACTTGACAGAAAAGCTACCAATTATGATATTATATGATTAGCTAACGTGGACTACAACAAGCATATATTTGAATGTTAAATTATGTTTATAGTACAAGGAAATTACAGTAAACACTTCCTTATTTTAACATTTCTTAACTCATTTGGTGTAGAGTGGCTAATTATCTGATTCTTTAATGTTAAGACACATGAACATAACAAAGGTCATATGGTCACTGAAGTTTCAATTTACTTTATAATTTTATACTTAAAACATATTTGAGCCGCATCACGACAAAACCAACATAATAGGTTTGCGACCAGCATGGATCCAGACCAGCCTGTGCATCTGCGCAGTCTGATCAGGATCCATGCTGTTCACGATCAGTTTCACTACTTGTTATAGGGTTTGTAAGCCAACAGCATGGATCCTGATCAGACTGCGCGGATGCGCAGGCTGGTCTGGATCCATGCTGGTCGCAAACGCAGTATGTTGGTTTTGTCATGGCGTGGCTCATTTATTTTAACTCAATAATGTTGAAAGCTGAATTAAAGAAGTCTCAAAGTTGGCTTCCTGGAGCTAACCAATACTGTCATACGAGGAAACTCGTCTGTGTCTACAGAATGGCTTTTTTTCGATCCATCGGTTGATGAAAGGCAGACAACTTGAGCACTAGGCCACCATTCTCTTATATTTTATATTATATTTAGAATATCCTTCATTGTAACCTTTCAAACTATATAGTATTATATTTTCCTGAAATAACACAGATTCTGTATCAGCTCTGAAGAAATTAAATATGTGTGATAAATTAATTATAATCTCTGAGGAAAATATCAAAGTATCATACAGAATTAAAAGAAAGTATGATATCTGTTTATGATGATCTTTTATAAACGCGATGTCGGCAGGAGTGACACAGCAAATATGTACATGTATATAATGATCACATGACATGAAAACACTATATTTTAGGAGAGAAAAAATGCGAGATATTCACCGTGTTGCCAAGTCATAAGATCATTTGTCACACATTTCTTACAGAAGATGATTATTATAATGTTTAGATGCAGGGATCATTCTAGGGGGCGATTTCCGCGATTTCTCGCAAAAATATCACCAAAATCTCAGAGAAATTTGTGAAATGAGAGAAAATCTCGCACGGCAATTTGAGCCGGAAAATGTCTAAACACAATCTAAGGAATGCTAAAATTACACAAAAATATGATGAAAAATTCACGATTCCCATCAAGAATTTAATTTTAAATTGTTTATTAATGAAATCGGTGTAAAAAAACTCTAAAAAGTAGTCCAACACTTTGAATTATTAAGCCTAAAATAATTGCCGATCGGAGACCGCAAATTCACCGTACAGAAATAAGGTATGATGGCTAACCTTTATCTATCTGTAAGTCGAGAATTTACACAAAGCACTTTTAATTGATTTTAATAAAAAAAATTAGACACAGACTAACATAAAAATGGACATGTCAAAAATAAATCTACCGGTAAAATTTGTCTTCTAAATGTCACATCAACCACGGTAAATTTTGCCGTAGGCTAAAGAACAAATTTAAAATTTTTGTTTTACGATTCCTGATGAAATAGCCGATAATAAATGTTCTTTTATTGAACAAAAATATTTAATTTTATATAATTGCAATCAGCAACAGCTAGAATTGTGAATGTTTCAGCGGAAAACAGACAAATATTCATTTGTCACATATTTTCGCGATGTCGTGATTAAAAAAAATTCTAAAAGGAAGCCGAGTGTTATTTAAAGGTGTTTTATAACACTAAAAATGATGTTTATGAATAAAAAATACTTTAGTTATTGTTTATATTTGTGGATATGGAGATATTTGTCATTATGTGTTCAGGTATATTTTTTAATGGAGGGAGGTGTGTGAAGAGAATCATAAAGAAAACAAAATGAAAGGTTATAAAAATATTCTTCAAATCTCAACAATTACTTCTGTACAGTACAGTGTTGTCCATTAGGAACATTGACTGCAAAAAATAGTTGTAGTAGATATCCATGTATAATTCTTTTATATTTCTGAATAAAGGTGTTATATTTATTTTTCTTAATTAGAATTTTATTATGTTTAAAAAATCACAAAAGAAAAGGCATAAGATGTGTTAAAAAAGTGAAAACAAAAATCACTGTAATAAACAGAGCTACATCTTCTTATATCCTCATTAGATAAACAATGTTTATATGCACAGTGATTTTTAAAAAGTTAGAAATTTCCATATTTTTAACCTCGCCCATCATGAAAATTAAATCTCTCAAGAAAATCTAATTTCTCTCATCAAAATGTCTCAAATGAGAGAAAATCTCTCACTAAAAATCCTGACCAGGATGATCCCTGAGATGTTGCTACTCCATCTCATTTACCTCGGCATTACTACACCCCTAGGAACTATTTTTCATACATAAAACAATATATCTGAATTTTGTTAGGCGACTTATTTTGGTGTTAACACATACAAAAGGAAGAAACAAAAGTTTATGAGTATCCACTCATCATTTAGACCTAACTTTACAACAATTTACGATACTAATAGTATCTTGGTAGATGAAGACTATTTTATTAAAATGCTATGACTTAGTGAAGCCTAATTACAACCTATCCATATTTTTATATAATTCCAAAAAAAATGTTTCTAATTCATTCTATATTTAGATCTCTATCTAATTAATGATGTAATGATAAAACAATATTCTAATTATAGATTTTATTGTCTCTTCATATTTAAAGATTGACCAATCCCTCTCTTCTTTGACCTTTTACATACATCTGTCTGCAAGAAAGATATAATTTAGCTCCAAGCACCAGCTTGGCCCGTGTCAAGAAATTTCCCATTTTTTTCTTCTATATACATGTATATAATTATAGTGTATTGTATAAAATTACAGTGTTTATACTATATATAGGATATATCAGAAGATAGCGAGACATGATTCTGATGAAAGCTGTCCAGATTCTAGTACCTAATATATCAAAGAATTTCCTACAGGTGTGTAAGTATTTGTTTGTTAAAGAGAACAGTATGCTCGCGGAAGTATTTTAATTCTTGTGATCAAAAAACATTTAATAAGATGTCTGTGTTATAGCAACTTGCCTCTAGATTTGTTACTTTTGATGCATATTCATTAATTGTTCTAATTAGTTAGTAAAAAATATTGTATCACATTTAAAAATTACGTGGATAAACCTAGTCTATTTAACATAACGTAATTTTGTAGTAGGTTTAATATTGTAAATTCAAAGAGAATTCCTGCAGCCACTAATACCTTGCTCTTTACAATCTAATTTTTTGGGTGTTTGTATTTTCTTTTAGTTGTCACAAGTTACACAATGATACTAATCTTGAAATCTTGAGCTGGTTACTGTATACAATATATATTTCACATTGTTCTCTCTGTATATTATAGTTCTCATGCAAAGCTTGAAATATATCTTGTCCAATCAAAATCTACGTCTACAATCTACACTACAACAGCCAAGTTTCTGCAATCTACTCATAACTTTAAACAATCAATAACAAAAATGGTGACAAAATTCTACAGCAGTCATTTTGATACGGCCTGCTATATAACAGTCTAATTTTAACTTTTGACATTTTCTCCGTTATCGATACCAGAACTTCAAAAGCTAGACGTTTCACACATCTCAGTCATTTTCACTTTTGTCTCGTTTTCCTTTAATGTATCTTTAATGTCTTGTTACATTTTCTCATTCAACGGTTCAATATTCCGTCACCATTTTTGCCACATCAGCACTTCCATAACAAAGATGTCAATGAAAATGTTGGCAAAATGAAAATGAACGAGCCTTTGAAATGAAATATGCATGAAAATGAGAAAATGAGTGAAAAGGGAAAATGTATATAACATTTTGTTTGAAAACACAATAAAGATTTTCCCATTTGAATTCTTCATGAATTCATCAAGACTTAAAAAGTGAAAAAGTCTTGAAGAATAATAAGCTAATAATTAAAGACACTAATTTAAAGATATATGATTGCATTTTGCTGGACACTTCTAATATAGGTAACATACTTCTTACCTGGACACTATCATTCACTGTACAGCACTCCTGTACTATAACTTCACCTGTAAGCTGTACAGTCAAAACTACTTTACACTTACAGGCAAAACTTTAAACTCCATGACAAATCATGCGCAATCCCCATGGGAAATTAATACTGATATCAAATTTTTATAGTAATTTGCATACATTTACCAGGGATAAACTTTGTCTGCAATGTATTCGGTCTCATATTACAAGTTTTTCATCCACAGGCATTCAAGTTTAAACACATCCTTTTCAATTCATATAAAAATTGGATGTACCATAAGAAGTATTATCCTCTTTGCGAGAAACAAAGCATGACATTAATTCTTAAGAAATTTATCCAGCATTATTTTAAGAATTTATTACACTAACATATAGAATATACAATGCATTGAGTTTATCAATACAATATTGCATGTTAAAAGCATACAATTGCAGTGCTGTTCACTTACCCATGAAATGATGCTCACAGTTTTTTTACTCCTCCAGTGTATAATATATATGTATTATAACATATAACAACTCATGTAACTTAAATAAGAGACCTACTTACCTCAGACTCTATTTTGTATATACAACCAGATTCTAGGGAATGGTAAACTTGACTAACAGTCCAGCAAAATGCAATCACACACGTTTAAATTTCATGTTTTCAGTATGATCATTATACTGTATATTTATAAAGTGTTGCAGAAACTTAGTCTAGAATGCACATGGAAGATGGTAATGATGAAAACTGATGACTTACATTGAGTAAAGTTACCTGTCTATGTCTCTCAAAATTATTTTTAGAGACCTCTGGTTTTGGATTGGGGTCAGGTTTTTCTCGTATTTTTTCCATAATAAAATTGTGAACTTTTCTGACGGCGTCGGCAGCACCCATTATAAGACAAACACGTTCTGTGGTGCCTGAAATTGTAAAATATTATACAAGATATATATTTGAAATTATGTCATTTGTTTGGACTACAAACAAAAAATTGCAGTCCTGTTTTTTACAAACAATTGCAGGCTTTAACAGTTTTTATGACTGTTACAACCAAAAATAATTTGGTGCATGCATTGCATGTATTTCAATTTACGTGTATCTTAACTTCATTTGAATAAACAGTGTAAATGACAAGACAAGATATAATTTGCTCTCACACTTGCGGACATATTTCACAGATCTTAAGACTGTTCCAGAAAAAAGAGGAGGAAATAAATAGAATGAACTTCAAACATACTGTTAACGTTTTCACTAATTATAATACAATATTCATATGAACTCTCTATTTATTGTGAAAGTTATTTGCCATGTGGTGTTACGGATGTGCAAAGACTATGATTAAGTTGTCAAGGGCATCATGTCCTTTGTCATTAGAGTACATGCGTCCTTCATTGTAGAGACGAAGAATAACAAAACATTCTCTCTACGTAGTATACATAGCTGTTTCTGTATAACATTTCTCATAACCTTATATTTCACATTACACTTGTTTCTTAATTACATATCTGTGTTATAATTTCAATGTTTCACGACAAGTTACATGTCATGCCATCAAGAAAGGTGCACTTACAAGAAAATAAAATTAATCAGCTTAGTTCTCTAGTGTTTTTTTTAATCATATCCTGGTAAGCTTGATGTAAAATTTTGTAATCTTCATTTTTTTCCCCCCATATATAAATATAACATCAGCCTATACTGTGTATTTATTATGAAATTTCTAAAAAAAAAGATTTTTTAAATCATCCGACAGTTTGTGGTAAAATTGCTTTCAAACATCACAAATTCTTGTTATCATATAGTAACATTGTAGACTTCAATGAGACAGTACATATTTTATGTGCAATAAACAGAAATCAGACACACTTTAATGCATATAAAATGCCTGTGTAGACAATCTTAAGCATTTCTTTTTGTCTTCTTTGTAAAGAAAAAAAATATGAAAATGATAACATTTTTTCTGCTGCAATTTTTTTTGTTTCTTCTTTTTTTTTGTGGTTACAAAGTGCTGAATAAAGAAATATTATTCATTCTATAAAGTTTGTAAAACACCTTCAAACAAACCCATTGCAATTTTACATTCATACCATTATATATGTAAGAAATGTGGGAGTTACAATATGAAAAGAATGATTTTCCAGAGCCAATCAATAAAGTCCTTAGAAATGACAGCAAAGGACTTGGGAACATTCTGTGAAATGTGTTAACAATAATGTATGAAGACAAGCAATCTATTTATTGATACATGATGTTAAGTAATACCATATCAATCAACGGTTCTGGTCAGTTTCTCTACAAGCATGTGTATATATGATGAAAAAAAAAGCCCACCACCATAGTTCAGATTATTCTAGACATTTAATTAGTTAGCTGATCCCCTAGGCACAATCAGGTTGTATTATTGTCTCTTCCAGGAAAATTTCCCTCAGAATCACTTCATGGGAGTTTCCATACAAATATAACAAATACACTAAAGTAAATACTTGTTAGAGAGAAAAAAATCAGTGTATGGACATAAGCGTCTCTGAAAACGGAGAGTAAATACAGATTTTAATGCTTCAGATATTATGTCACAATTATTAGTAATCAATTTCAGCTTACAGCTCTTTAACTGAAAACTAGACTTTTGTTTAATAAGAGACTTGGTTGCAGAATTTTACTTCTGCAGATATTGAGGGAGCGCTCAATGACACATTAGCAATTCTAGCAATTTGCTACTAATTTATATTTCAATCTTATTAAAAGTGTACTCTACTTTATAGAGGTGATACTATTCTTTACAAAGCCACAACAAAGATAAGAAATAGGCAGCCTTGTATTACTTAATTCTTGCTGCCAAGTGAACAACATTTTCACCTTTCAACAACATTATCAGTTTTCCCTGGAAACAAGTCCTTAATTATAGACATAGAAGCACTGGAACAAGGAATTTTGTTATTCACTTTGTACTGTACAAGGAAAGAAATTCTGTTCCAAACTCAATCTTCCAGCTTATTTTGGTGTTATTCCTAGGTTATCATTTCAATCAAACAAAGCTATTTGCATCTAAATGAAGCCTGAAATATGCATCAAGGCTGTTTTGATTCTGTAACCATGGCAATATTATAAAACATCTAAAAAGTCAATCATAATAAAAGTTTATATTTTCATAGACAACAATCATATGGGCATATCAGTTTACCTTATAATCTTACCCTTCATAATAATGTGTTTAATTTTTACAATATTTATTTTAGTTTAATTGTGTAGGAAGCTATAAGCTTAAAGACACACTAGAAAATTGTTTCTGAAACTAACCAGTACTTAGCAATGAGTGTAGTTTCTTGCTTAAGAAAACAACCGCTTACCCCAGAGCATATGCACTGACACTAACCAAGCAGCCATGTTTTTATTTTCAAATTGTTACTATCGATTGATACAATTTAATACAAGATAAAAAACTTCCCGAAATTTTTCTTATAAAATAGAGTTTTCTAAAATTTCCTCATCAATAAATGAGATTTTACCATATACCACGAAAAGGTTGCCCACAAATCAAGTAAATGGCATTGTTAATAAATTGTCACAATACAATAAAATTATAAGGAAATGAGTACACTTATAGTCAACACTTAACAGTTAATATTGAATGCCCCATTAGATATTGTTCCCGGAACACGATCAAGTTATATTCCTGATTAAAGGGCTTTAAAACTGTTTCATTTCACATATTAAAATCAGTTGTACTGCAAATTTTCTACATACAAATTAACATAAATATCCCTAAACTGCATGACTTGTCATAAAATGTGTCAAACTTTTCCCTGCATCGTTGTAATTATGCAAATGAACAGGTACTTTCGATAACTGGCGTGAAATTTTGTGGCTATTTTTGCTCGCTTTATTGCTTATCAAAACTGACCTCATTTGGACATATCTAATGGAAGAAAGCCCAAACAAGAAAATTAATACAACATTCATATGTACCTAATGAACAAAGTCCTCTCTCTCTAGGTTAATTCATTAAGCCAGATAGACTGTAATATATGTACATGTAGCAGTAAATTTATATGCTTAAAGCCCAAGGACATTCCTCACAATGTCATACATATGCACCAAAAACTGAAACCTCATGCATGTATTAGGCCTGCACATCTAACATTTACTTTATTTACCTTTTAATTTTTAAGCAAATTTCTGCATATAAATTTTTGTCTTTTTTTTTCATCTTTTTTTTCCATCTTTTTTTTTCTTCTTCTTTTTTTAATAAATAAGTTAACTAATTATCAATTTAATTTCAAACTAACCATTGACCAAGGAGTAGGAGTAAAATATTTTAGACAATGGTCAATATTTTGTACATTATGAAGTATATCCTTGGGCTTTAACTGTTAAAAATTTTTGCTACATAAGAAGATATGGTTACATAGATGTCTAAATGAATTTACCCAGAGGGAAGACTGCTCATTTTAAACCAACATAACCAAGTTATCTAAGTATCTACACACAGAACAAGTTAACTGATCATGAGAAACCAGTAGAAAGTAAGTAGGTCTACAGAGTTCAAACCTAAAGAAATTCACACATATAATCAATCAATCTTGAAACTGAAATAATTTACCTGGATAAAAATCATTAGCTTTGGACATTTTAACACGTGCTCCAGCTTCTTTTTGTACTGCTGCGATTGTCTCCCCTCCCTTGCCAATAATGGCTCCGGCAGCGATACTGGGCACCAGTATTTTGAGATGTACATTATCTGCACCTGAAATATACAACATATCAAAAATTAACAATCAAATGTTTCACCTGCATAATATAGCAATCTGTATACAAGATAACAAACAGAGTTATCCAGATGTGACAAAAAAGTGAATAATTTACATGGTGCAAATGATGCTTCCATCATTTATTTCATTACCAGCGGAATTAAATCTAGTATACAAAGAATTCTTTGCAATATTAACACACCTGGAAATATTAGGGAGAAAGAATGCACCTTAAAATTGCACATGGCAAGACAATCTGTTTTATATGTAAATGATGGCCCACACTTAACAAAGCTCAACCTTTCAGATAGAATCAAGTATGAAAACAGAAAAAAAAAAAACTTTTTTAGTGTCAGTAGAACATTTTTTCAAAATTTCACATCAATATGTGTTCATTAGATTAATTTATCCCAAAATCTTAATCTTGCAAATCTCATGTACAAGCATGTAACGTAGAATCAAAGACAATAGATCATAAAAACCATGTGTAAAGATTATCTCTGCTATGTATATACATGTATCATATTATGGAACATGTATTATATGTTTCAGTGCAATAGAATCAATTAGCCAAGGAAACATTTTCAACATTTGAGCCGTGTCATGACAAAACCAACATAATGGGTTTGCGACCAGCATGGATCCAGACCAGCCTGCGCATCCGCGCAGTCTGATCAGGATCCATGCTGTTCGCTATCAGTTTCTCTTCTTGTAATAGAGTTGGTAAGCGAACAGCATTGATCCTGATCAGACTGCGCGGATGCGCAGGCTGGTCTGGATCCATGCTGGTCGCAAACGCATTATGTTGGTTTTGTCATGACACGGCTCATTTATCAAAGATACAGGTTAAAGGTATGTTGGTACAATACACTATGAACATACACCACAACTGTATGGTTCAAAGATGATCCTCCATCTTATATGCCTACATTTTTTCCAGGTATAGGTAAGTACAAAGTGTACATATAATATTCCTCTTAGAGAACAGAACATCTACTCACATATGGAAATGGTAGAGCCATAATTTCAAATACCAAACTATACTATGATATGAAACTTTATTCAACCTTTATGACAAGCTAGCCAATAATGAATTTTTACAACAAAATCTTCTCCATTAAAAAACAAGATAGTTTTGGAACTTTTAATCTGACATCACAATTTCCATGGCCAGGGTACAGCATTGTCATGGTACGCAAAGTTTAAAATAAAAGTAATATTTTCTATTAATAAGATCAAATATTATGTATATACAAAGTTTTGCAGAATTATCTGCTAACATTATTGAACCTTGTTATGCTTTTAAACATGAACAACTATTTAATGACCAAATTTAATAAATACACTTTTGGCCCCGAAGAAAATCGTACAATATGTACTTATAGCTCTGAATTCACGGGTGATTTATACATTGAAAATCCAGTCATTTACCTCTACATACATTATGAGAGGTTTAAACTATTGTGATTTAAACTTAAACCTAATATATAGCAATCTTGTATTTAAAACAGCCACTAATGGTTTAAAAATACTGCAGCTATTGTAAAAGAATGACTGAACCTTTATTAAATTTAAATATATCAAATTACAGAAATAATTTACGATATCTTTTTTTTTTCAGATATAATATCAAGGGCAAATTTAAAACTATCTTAAACGATAAAATATCATAGACAAATTAAAAACTATCTCGCCCATTATCATACATTTTGTAAAATTTGTAAGTTAAGAACAGACATTTTGTCATAGATATTTCAAAACTACCAGAATGAAAACTTTAGTTTTATGGGTAAATCGTTTTTTTTTTTGTTTTTTTTTGTTTTTGTTGTTGTCTTATTTACATTATTTGTAGTCAATTGAACACAAAAAAAGTTTCTATTTTGAATCATTGAATCACTAAACCTGTTTAGGGGCATCCTTAAATGCACATTTTAATTCAGTTCTAAATTTAGAACAAAACTGAAACTGATATGGAAATTCGTTATAACTCACTAAACTTGAATACCAACTTACAATCTTGTTTTTTCTCAAACTTTCTTTCACACACCTCATTCAAATAACCCTGAATATGATTTTCTACGTCATATTTTAACTCTTCCCACATAATAAAATTTTACAGTTTTTATGTAAGAAATTTCACCTACATGAACTGCAAGCCATAAATTATGAACACATCTCACTTTGTATTAGTTTCTGCATTCTTGTATGTAAAAATAGAGATATCTGAGTATCTAGTACAAAGGTACAATGTCAGACAAGGTCAAATAGCTTACACCAAGTGAATTCAGTGCTACAGCAACTAGCTATATCATACCTTCATGTATATTAGAGTAATACCTTTCTCCTACCTGACTAAACATTTTATTGCTCATTTATGCAATTTTAACTAGATTTAAATTGAAAATGCTAACACTGTATTGAATTTTGTGCTATGTTGGCAGAAACTTATGGCTTTTATTTCAATTATCAAACAAATTCAAAAGGAGGGTTTTTTTCTTTAATTTTAGTGATTACCTTTGCCTTGTTATTGCAAACTCTTCAAACAAAAAAGTGCCGATCATGGGTATTAAGCATATATCTTAGGTGCCAAATCCTTTTATGAATGACAAAAAGGTGATCTAAAATAACTATATAATACTTGTTTGGACCACTAACCTAGAGTTATATATATTTTGTATCTATAGAAGGAAATAAAACTGTAAACCAACTTTGATCAATCAATACTTCTACCAATAAATTTGTATGGCTTTCCTTAAGATCAATAATGTGTTTGGCAATTCCTTGTCAGTCCCGCTAAAACTTGTCACTGCTTATAATGAAAGGCCCTACACTTGCAGAAACTCACTTCCTTAGATATATACAATATATGATTTCAAGGAACAAGACAGAGAAACTAAGCCTATCAATACATGATTATGATATATCATAAATAACAGATACAGTAACTGTTAGTCTTAATATACACTCAAAAAAATCTGCTTTTTTTTTCGATAGTAAAATGCCATACTATCAGTTGGATGAATATGAATCATAACACCAAAATTTCACAGAATGTCAGACATAAAGGAGTAGCTAAATGTGAAAGATTAAAGGCCCATCTCTTGAAGGTAGACAGACGCAGCCACAGTAAGAGTGCAATTATATCTGACTAGTATTTTACACTTCTCAATTATCTTGCAATCCAACAATTCACTACAGAGTTGCTTATTTTCATTTCTTTCCCAATAAAGTCTTATTGAATAAGCTTGTTTGTTTGATCTTCCCATTCAGTCAGTCTGCAACACACTATATATAATATATATATATAATTATATAAAATCAGACCTTGACGTATTAAAATATTGCTATTCAGCATTATTTTTTGCTGTCATTTTAATAAGTACAGGTGTACCTATCTCAGGTTCAATCTGTTACCACACTGGGTTGAAATTTTTATTCAGAAGTCCAATTGGCTTCTACAATCATACAGTAACAATAGGTATTTTAACCAGGAATCTTCCTGGCTAAAATCAAGTTGGTCCATACAAAGTTTCCCTGAGGTAGTGGGCTGCAGTGGCACTTTTTCAATAACTAACCCATCTTCTGCTGAAAATGATAAGTGGATTTGTCCTGCCTTTAATTCATGTCCGTCCATTGTCAGTTCAAGGGATTTCAATGTCAAAAGACCAAAATAAAACAGCCGATAATCAAGAAGTCTTGTCAGACTGTAACAACTGGTAGCGCTTGTCAGGCTTTCCACAACAGGCTGAATTCACACATGCATGATAAACTAAAGCTGTCCAAATTGCCCAGATCTATGCTCCTGTGCCTAGGAAAATCAAATGGCAGAACACTTATAACATAGGTGCCCACATCTAGAGCAGCTATGAAGCAAGCACCCTACTGGAGGAGAAACTCTACAAGAACCTTGAGGCCCTCTGGAAAACTGCACATTTCATCGCTGTGACTGGGGTGACGTAGAAGGGGAACAACAACAAGAAGTCAGACAGTATGGCAACACCGGCTGGTTTGTATTAATACTTAGTGGTTTTGTAGACACTTGTGCATTATGGGTTACATTTCAAAACATTTAAACATTTGAACTTTTTACCTATTTATCTACACTTTATTCTACAGCTATATAACATCAACTAACTGAGTCTGTTTTCACAGCAGCTACATGTAACAACTGTTCCAAAAATATATAAATGAAAAAGAAGTTTATTTTGACCTTGTTGACCTTTATAAACTAAAAGTACTTATTTCATAGGTAAATCATTATTGAAATTAACAGAGATTTTTTTTAAATTTAAACACTAAGAGTTTCAAAGGGTTTATTTTTCTGACTAGTTTCTCCATAGTAAGTTAGATATAGATCTGTGTTTATCACATAAAAAACTTTCCCCTAATCAATAAGCTTATTTACGCGTTTTAAATGTATTGTGTAATAAATAAATAATAAAATTTGCAAGTCAAATCAATTTTACTAACCCGACTTGTATGAGCACATCTGAGTAGATCATACAATAGAAAGGTTGTCTATTCTGCGGTACAAATATTTAATCTTTGTAGTAAAGAAATGAATTTAATAAAGACTTGCCAAGTCTTTAATAAAGTTGATTAGCAAACTAAGCAGGTTTAATCTCCTGTGGTCAATCCAGAAAAATACCCAGCCAACATTTTGACTGACACAGGGTTTTTTCAAGAGATATGCAATTTGTAGACATAAACAGTAAATGTGCTGATACAGCAAATTTTCTCAAATTAAAGCATACCCCTTCATATAATGGATCAGCCCTGTTTGAATTTTGGAACAGTCCATTTGAGGTTTATAAGATTTCAATATCAAAATATTTAAATTAACCCTGTGAGTTTCTTCGCAGGTAGAGCTGCATCAAAGAGCATGCACCTATAAAGTTTGAAATGTACCTTAAGTTTGAAGGGACTTAAAAATTCCCATGTAATAATGGTTAGGGTTCAAGTTTTGTGACAGACACAAATTGTGTGACAGACAGAC